AACAGTTAGTGTCGAGCCCTGCCGTATAGTATCTTTAATACTAACAATAGTCAAAAGAAAAATCTGAACATCAACGTGACGATAGAATGTATACAGTGATACAGATAAATAACAAATAAAACGAAATATTAAGTACACAAAGATGAGAGGTCTAATTACAGGAAACGAACAATGATTTCTACGAATATTCTTTGTCAACCAAGCTTAACGTGTCTTCAGAGTCGATAACTGTAGCTCTAGAAACAACTTTTGTTTAAATCATTAGATCGCCATCAATAAATATGTTCAAGGACTTCTCTCTTTACGAGGATCACAATACTTCACCTACCAGGTCTAATTCATTTGATAAATATTTTCCCTTAATATTGGGAAAAACGAGTTTTCATTGAGAGTTATGCGAATGCGGACATCTGCACGCGAGATCCTAAAAGAACGCATAAATAGTAATTTGATTTAACAGAAATTGATGGCAGTCAAATTTTAAGACCATATTCAGAAAGAATAAATACATTACTTACTCAGATAGAGCAATTTCCAACATTAAGCGTCCAAAGTAATCTGGGATTGCTTTAGTTTTGCCTTACTTCGCTATTTGATTGGTCCAGAAACTCGCACCACCTTCTCATCCAATCAGAGTCAAATCTCAACCCAATCCGCGCAGTTCGTCACTCGCGTTTTGCCGCTTTTCAGGCAATTTGTTTGTATTTTCTTCGAGTTCTCTATGGTTACTTGTAAGATTAGAGAGACTTAGCATCGCGTTTACGTGGAACGTGAACAGCAAGAGTGACCACGTAACCTTGTTTTTCCCGCCATTTTTCTCGTTTGTCAGTTGGGCTTTGCCGTTTCTAAGTGAAAGTAAGCTGCTTCGCGTTTGCCGTGTACGTTAAGATTTACTTCATTGTTTTCTTTCACAGAGTAGAAGTTAATTGCCGGAAAAAGGGCATCAAAACTATTCCTTGTATTAAAGTCATACAAGGGCGCCTTCAAATCCATCCATGACGTGAGCTCACGTGGAAGTTGACGCAGCAAGGTTCACGATATTTTTACATGAAACGTGAAAGAGAAAGCTGACGTTTGCCGTTTCAAGTAAAAGCTAAACTTAATCTCTCTATTTCCTTGCAATGATTGGCTGTTGTGATTGCTTTGGTTTTCGTTTTTGAACTTGGTTTAACGACACTCAACTGAAAAACGCTCTATTAGCTACTACCATCAATCGTATTTTTCACCTCCTGTGAAATCCTATTACATACTGGCTTTCTAAACTTCAAACAAGATATGTTCCATCAAATTGACTAATTAACACTGAGGAAGCAAACCTTTTCATTCGATCAAGAAAATATTTCAGTTGTATTGGCTTTCAGTCATATCATTGTACTATATTCTGTCTGGCAACTTTAAATCTTGCAAATCTAATTAGTATTGAACGAAGACTTGATTTTGACCTATTCTATACTATGGCATTGATGTGATAAAAAAACAAGTGAACGAGTGTGGTTAAACAAACAAAGAAGCGTACTTGCATCTCTCCACGTCATAATGTGAAGTTTCAGTTTCTCCTTTTGGAACTTTCCATATTCACTGCGGCGTGTGGACCTAACTAAACGTTCATAGGCGGGAAGCAAATCGCGATCTTCTTGACGCCGCTGCATCCTTACAGAATACTTTACTGTGGATTCCAAATGCGTGCTTATTGACTTCAATGAAAAAACAAAGGGCTCTAACTATGTTGTTCATCGTTTCTGCTTGCTTTGGTGCTAGACACCATTAAATTTGATCAAAACTATTGTTCATTTCATTCTAATGTGATTGGCACACCAGTGCATCGCTACGGGCTCTAAGGCGTAGTTTCCATGATGCAGCACCTCCAGCTTCATCTCTCAAGGAGTGGTGACATACAAGTAGTTTGTGATCATGGTGGTTTTCTAATCTCCGTCAGGGTGAACCACTGAGCCACAGACGTCTTAAGCTCAGCTTGTGACAGATCGATGATTACTCCACCGAGAAATTCGTTCTCGCCCATATAATCGTGATCCAGTACAGTGACCTGAAGATGGCGCCGTCTGGCTTCGTGCTCCGGCAAACTGTACAATAATGATTCGTTAAATGTTGGGTTAAGTGTTTTCCGTGCAATCTTGGTCTTGAGTTTTGTGGCCTTATTAGGATCTGGAAGGAGGTATAGTTTGACGTAAGGATCTGCCAAATATGTTGTATTTCTTGCAGATAACTCTTTCGCGTGCATAATCATGACGCGAAGGGCATCTCGCTCGTGCCGAATCTGCAACTTCACTTGTCCTCCAATGACTCTCTGGCGATTTCGTTTTTCCTCCGGAAGCAAGGGAGCCGAGAACAACCGTGCGTCGTTCTTGTCTTGCTGAAGAGAATGAAGGAATGTGTACAGAAGTTCCGATTCTGAAACTTCAGGAGGCAGCATCAGTAAATGGCGGATGTAATCATCAAGGTCACTTCGTCTCCGCTCGGCAACAACACGGATCTGCGAACGACGAATGTAGATTTTGCTAGGAAGTTTGGGCAGACTGGTTTCCGGAAAAGCCTCCAAGAGCTTTGAATGTAGCTCGTGGAAGTGGCTAAACCTGCGAAAAACAAACGCCGGTTCTTCGTCGCCAACTCGGCAAATGTTCACAACGTAAACGTAATACTTCTCAGGACTGTAGCGCTTATGGAAGTCCACAACACGGGCAGATTCTACCAACCCATCTGAGTCGACAGAATATGTTCCGTGAACGAAAGAAAGAACAGAGCTTACGCTAGCGTTTGTAGCTGTCGAGAGTCGTAGTTGACTAACGTCTCTGATCTGAGCGACATTATGAATAAAGAAATTGACTTGAGTGAACCATGATGACAGACTAGCCTCGATTAGTCTGGTGAACGCCGCCGTAGCTTCTCCTTCTGAGGAATCTGGAAGCAATGAATCTCGAATGTACTTCAAATCTTCCACCTGACTCAAGGAGGATATGCCAGAATTCAGCATCAAGGATAGCAAATTGAGAAGCAAGTTGGAGTGGCGTCGGATGACGTTGAACGCTTTGCAGCAAAGGTCTACAAAGTCTTGAAAACGACTACTGGGCTGGTAGCCTCCGTTTATGACGAAAGCCATGTCCGGAGTCAAGACGAAGGGAGCCCGATCTCGTCGAAATGTACCGAACATCTGAGCGTTTCCAAGGATCTTGGCGAAATCAATGTGAAACATGTGACCACTTTTCTTGATCATGATATTATCGTTGTGTCGATCGCAGATACCAAGGACGTAGGTAGCGACGCAGTAACCTGCACATGATGCTATAAAATTCTCCACAGCTTGGTGGTAGCTGTCGTCGCCAGTGTTGTACTTTTTGATCCAACGTGCAATTGGCTCATCCTTGAAAGACCCTGTCAGACCCAGCTCAGTGTGGATTTCTCGAAGCGTGACCGACTCTTTCACAATTTCCACCATCCCCATTCCCACGCCAGTTGCCACACATTGGTACGTGATTACTTTTAAATCGATTCCTTCTCGTAACCAGATCTTGTTCATTATTCCTACAAGCTGCATGATAAGCCTGTCTTGTCTCATGTCGTCCCCAGCTTTGAACATTGCGTGGATATCTTCGCCAAACGGGTCAACGCTCTTGAAAATGAGTCGCAATGGCGCAGAATTCGATGTAAAGTATCCACAGGCTGGAACGTTAACACCCTTAACCTCATAACTTGGGCCTATTGGAAGCCTAAAGGTTGGACCAAAGTTAGCAGCTACCACTGCTAGTTCTTGGTGAAGGACATTCATTCGTAAGGAGTCTCTTGAGGTTTTGACTTTCCGGGCTACTTCTGCAAGGTCGGCGACGACTTCGTCTTGAAAGGTAAACTCGCACCTTTGGGCATTTCCACAGATATTCAACAGACCCCCGAGAATAATTTGGAACCGCTGACCGAACTGAGAATCACTGATAGTGTCCTTCAGGTACCAGAAGAGATAATGCATAACTCTGACACTGGCAAGAGCCCGGCGGACAAGAAAGCGAACCAAAGAGGAGTCGTGATAGATTTCATACTTCAAGGCCTGGACGAGCTGAGGAAGGTAATCGCACAATTCATCATCAACCACTGCTTCCATCCACTGCACTGCCGTATCTCTCACACGGGTGTCTGGGAAATTGACCTTAAGCAGCTCCATAGCATCAACTGGTTTTAAAGGGGCCCAAGATGCCAAAAGATTGTAGATTTCTGGAAGGAAACCGTACTCCCAAGATGGTGCTGCAGACAAGATGAGAGGTAAAGCTTTTGGGACTGACATGCAGTAGTGGCGATGTTCCCAGAGAAGTTCACTCTCCTCTGGCTTCAGTTCATTGAAGAGATCTTTCTCCAAAATATTTTTGTATACTTCAGCGGTTTGGGGTTGCGGCTCACAGCGATCCGTTTCATCGGAGGGTAACCAGCCGTTGCTTTCGAAATCAGGAAAGACAATGTCAGCCAAATATCGTTCGAATTCGACTTGCAGAATGACACTGGATGGGTGTAGCAGGTTAGATGTACAAGTGCCGACTGGGTTGCCCGTGTCATCCGGCCATAAACCAAGGAGATGCGTTCCCGACACCAAAACACCCTTGAAATCGAAGAGTGGTAGTGCAACCCACCCAAGTGGAGTTCTACTGGTATTCAAGGTGTTTCCTTTGCTGATCGGGGGAACGCCATAAAGTGTGAAACATACACGAGACTCACGAGGGAGTTGACGAACTTGCAGCTTGAATTGCAGCCATTCATTCCACATAAGTTGGTCGAAGAAATTTCGGGCGATCTTAATTTGCTTCGTCACTTCTAATGGGCACGTCAGGCGCCCCCCATAGTAAATTCCACCATGAACTTCAAAGCTTTCGAAGTCTTGGTTCCATCGCGGAGGCAGTCGATGGGCGAAGGCCACTTGGATACGGACGTTGTCTGTCATGGCTGTAACCTCTATGGATCCGGCAAGTTTGGGTCTCTCTATCCGGGTGGGAACAAACTCGGTATCAAACGCATCGCAGTACATCTCTATAAGGAGCATAACAGCTGATTGCAACTTTGAGAGGGCATCGTTCAAATCGAGCTGGTTAGGAACCATTCTATCAGAAACCTCGACAGCCTTTTGTAGATTTTGTAAAATGCGGATGGAATCGATCAACTCTTTCGTTTCCAGGGTTGCCAAGGTGGCACAGATGGCTTTCACAGCTTGGATTGTACGACTTGGCTCAAACCGTGGCTTGGTGTAATCGGTAGTTTCTTCCAAGAGTCTGACCAGTTCTTGATTAAATGCCTCTAACAGTACAGTCAGCCCATATCTCGACACAGCGGTAGTCACAGAGCAGTCAAAAAACTCTTTGTAGTTGTGGGAAACAATGCCATCTAAGTCATCTTCTTCAGTACGAGCCAGCTGTCTTGAAACTTGCCAACTCTCGAGGAGGACAAGTTCAACCTCACGCTTAAATTTGATGCATTCCTGTACATATCCATACTGGATAAGGACTCCGTTTGATTCCAGGTACTCGGAACGTCCGCAAACTTTAAGTACACAAACTGCAGATGAGTTATACTCTAGTGATTTACTATCATTTGACAGACAACTCAGGGCGAGCTCGATTATTTTGCAGACACGGCTATGTACACTAAAGGTGAACTTGAGGGTGTCCTGCCGCTGATCGGTGTAGATGGCAATAAAAGCATCGGTGTTGTTCGGAAATGTTTCGTGATCATAGGGTATCGTGGGACTTAAAACATGGCCGGCGTTCGTTTCTTCATCCCAGCGAAAGTTTGACCTGACAGAGGTCATCATAGCACTAAAGGCAACAGCCTCTTCATTCCTCTCTTTGGCGACATCAAACAGACCATCTCCAAAGAAGAGAAACTTTGACTCACAACCACTGCTGTTCCTTGATGCACCCGGTGACTTTTTGATCGGCAGAGAAGCAGAGGCCGGGCGATTGGGAATCTTGAATGGGGGTGATCGACCAGAGGAAACGGGTTTGCATCGAGTGCTTGACTCCTTTGAGGACTGTCGAAGCCCACGAACTTCATTTTCATTGGGGAGGTTCACTGTCAAACGTCTTATATTTCTGGCATCTGTCTTAAGGCTGTGCGCATTGTGAGTTGTCTCCGATGGAAAGAAAACAGTGTCTTTGACCAATTTTCCTTCTAACGAAGTTTTGTCCTTGATTGACTTTCTGAATGATTCTCCAAGATGCAATTTTCGCTTTAAAGTGATGGAACCATAGGGGTGTTCATTGCCAGAATTTGATGAGGTATCACAGCTGAAAGACTGATCTGCACTTGCCATTCCAACATCTGAACCCTGACCTTTCAAAGTAACACTAGGTCTAGAGGTGTAGGAGTGTTCACTTTGAGCATTTTCAACCTCTGCTTGGCCACTAAGAGCGGATGAACTTTGAGACTGAGAGTTCAACACTTCTGATGGGGGCCTAAATAACGTGTGATAGTTAGGAAATCCACCGTGAGGGAATTCCGCGACTTTGCTTGTTTTTTTAACTGGGCTTCCAGGCGGTGACAGGTCATCCCAAGAACGAGATGCCCGTAATCTGTTCGCTTCTTCAAAAAGACTACCACGACCTGTCGCATTGGCAGTGGCGGTCGTAAAATTGAACAAATGTGAGTGTTCTTCATCACTAACATGACCTGAATGTGTCAATCTTGCTCGTGGTTTAGTCGAATGCAACGCTCGGTTCGAAAGGTTATTTTCGTTTCGAAGGCTGCTTGTTTGTTGGCCGTTAGAAATAAGGAAGGTCGGTGACAGCGAGCGAGCTGTGTCAGCGCTAGGCGGACTTCTACCAATTCTTTCGAATTCGGAAGATAAGACATTCAACCAAGAAGGATCAGACCTTGTGGCAACATTGTCTTCTTCATCGGAGGAGAAGGACATGAGATCGTCCAAATGTCCTTTCTGTTTTTCCATCATAAATTATAAACCGCCCAAACCAGGAAGATTTAAATGCAAATCAGGCAAATCAGTTTCAATTTCATTATAATCAAGAAATATATTATTAGCGTGATTTGTTACGATTAAAAATCAGAATGTTCGAACTTGCCTTGCCAGGTTCTCAACAACACGCTGAAACCATTACAACCATTACAACGTCGAAGCACTTCTTCAGAATTATGGACAATAAACTGTATGTGAAGACAAACACCGCACTTCAGCTGACTTACGCGTGGTCAAGTTTTTCCTGTTCCAGTTCGATTTTAGCAAACTTTTCGATCCCAGCATAAAATCATTCGCTTCCGATTCATCAGTAAAGTGCCAATGGCTCTCCCTCTCTCAACAACTTTACTGGATTGTCGAGGAATCCTTGCGAACGGCCGAGACAACCGTACTGGCTTCGTACCATTCAAGAACACGGTTTGTAAACAACCAAATCAACGTAGTTCAACTACACTGCGCATGGGTTTTTTAAATACCACCGCTGACATGTCAGGCTGAAAACAACAAACATGACGGTATATACTCCGTAGGAAAGATTGTTTATACCTCCAAAGAATTAAACCTTTGTTTTGGTTCCTAATGGCCACATTTGGTTGGAGCTACAAGTCTAATGCAAGTGGAAGTAAACGTCCCAGTGAACAATCGAGAAAAGTTGAGAGCTGGCAGGAGAAACGCGCAGAGGACGCACCGAAACCCCCACCCCTGCACCCCCAATCACATTCAGCTGAAACTTTGACAGCGGGAACCCAACCTAAGAGGAGAAAATGTGAGTGGCTGAAAAAACATAATTCGAGTCAAATTAAAACCCTGGAAACTTATTTTTCAGGTGGCCTCCTGGGGAACTGGATAGAACAGCTTTAAGTAGCTTGTAACTGTACATTACACGAGCTTCTAATTTAAAAACTGCTTGCACTTTCAATTCAAGATCTTGAAGTAGAGTTATTGGAAATGTATGTTTTTGTAATGTATGGTTCGTATTTCAAGAGGAGGTGAGATGCTGCAGAAAATGAAATATGGCGTGAAACGAAACAAAGAAAGAGAAAATGTAATATTGATCACATTTTATTTGTAATTTTGTATGTGGCACATGATCGGCCACCAGAGATTGAGACTTCTTTAACTTGTAACAACTTTTGACTGTCATTTTTCTGATTCTGTAAGCTGTACTGATGTGACATTTTTCGGATGTACTCTTTTGACCTGATTTGGTGCTTCCTTGCCTTGACAGTTATTTTCCTTTTGTTAAATTATCAGTTTGTCTCCATTGTTTATCAGTTACTTGATTGTTTGGGATATGTTGTGAGTGAATAATTTGGAAGTTGTGTATCATGTATAAAGCAATCAAATAAGGAATTTTCACCTTTCCCTAAGAGAAGCTGTCCTTATTTTTGTTTCTCTCTTCTGATGTCAGAGTGCTAAAACACATCCTACATTACTTGATATCAGGGTATGGTGCTTTTGAACAAAGTAAATTTTGGAAGATTAAGCCCCCCTCAAAATGTCATTGATTTGATTGGATCAAGTATAAAGATAAAAGCTACATGATTGCAATCCCAAACACAAGCATGTTATTTATCCCTTCTGGCTATTGTTGCTGCACTTTCTATGTTTTCCAGTTGTAACTGTTCTGTTGCTAACACATCTAGCTGAGATCCAACAGTGTATTACAGTCGAACCTCGATTATCCGGACCTTGATTACCTGGACTCTTCGATCATCCAGACTTTTTCTCTGGTCCCCTTCTTTTTCATGAATATTAATGAGCTTTGATCTTCAGAACTTCATCATGGGGTAAAAAATTCAGAGATTATGTATTAAGTCAGGAAAAGTGCATTTACAACAGTGCATAACCTCCTCTGCTTTGGAAAGAGCAAGTGCTCTAAGAGTCATTGAAGCATACTTTTAGAATTAAAAATGTGTTATCTTTATGTCTTTTGTTTACATGATTGCCTCATTAATATTCATATTTTCAATTGTCTGGACTCTCAATTATGCATACTATTTACCCAAGTCCCAACAAGTCTGAATAATCAAGATTTGACTGTACTAACAATCTCTTCTTTTAAACATTTGTGTGACCTTTGGTCAAGTAAGTCCTCATAACGGCGTAATCATAAGCTACAAATCATTCACCATTTTTGGTGGTAGACTGTATTTCCTCATTTCTTTCTTTCCCTATAGATGACCCAAGAGCCAAGATATTTGTTGGTAACTTAGACTGGGAAACTAAAGAAGGTATTGAAGAACTAAAGAAATTAATTATGTGGTAGTTCTTATACACTGTATAGTCAGTAGCAACTAGTAGGGTGAGAGGTTATTATTATCACTCTGTTAGACAATGAGCCAAACTGTATTTAGCTGGTTCACATGCTCACATGCTTATTCAGACTGTTTTGTTATCATGGCATTCATTTACCTTAAGGTATTGTACTTTTATTAAAAGTATTTTTTTTTCCATGCAACATCTACTTCACCCTCTGTTTTACAGGAGAACATGTAAGAAACAATTTTAATGAAGAATGACAAGCAGTTTCTGAAGGCTTTCTCCTTTAGAGCCATTTGAATAATGCAGGCCACAATTGATTATTATCAATTGATTAATACATGTAATTTAAGATATTTCCCCCCAGGAATTGTCTCAGATATGCTTTTATTTTCAAATTGTTATGGTCTCACAATGCCATTGTGATTTCCTGTAATAATTCCTGTAATATTTGAGTTGTATGTCAGCAAAGACATTACACCTAATTATCATAAGCCAGGACAGAAGCAGTGAAAGGAATAATAATGGATTAGAAATCAGGATACTAACCTTAATTGTTTGATATTTTGAATTTTTTTTGCAGTAACCATCGCTGAAATTTTCTCTACCTTTGGAGAAATAGAGGCAGTTAAGGTATAATGTATTTACTACCTCAGCTGAGGGGCAATTTATAATCAAGAGATTGATCATCATGTCAAATACAATAAACTTATCAGCTGATAAATAAATGTAGATTACTTATTGAGCAAAAGAAAGAGGCCCTTGAATCAATGAAAATAAACATTACTTTGAAAAACAGAGGTTTAAGAATTGAGGAAATGGTTTGTTATAACTTTTCACTATTACTCCCAGAGTGTCTCTTACTGTGATTCATTTCCTCTTATTCTTATCATTTTACTTTGCTTGAAAGGTGACTGTAAGAATAAGTTATTTATTATGGTCACTCTTGTTGGTGAAAGAGTTCCCGCTAATCTGCTCCCAGTAGTTGAACTGTACCCAAAGGTGACTGTAAGAATAAGTTATTTATTATGGTCACTCTTGTTGGTGAAAGAGTTCACACTAATCTGCTCCCAGTAGTTGAACTGTACCCAAATGATCACTACGGTAACCATTTGTAGCACACTGTCATAAACACATATCATGAGACTAAATAATTAATTAATTATAATACCTTTTCCTTGTGTAAACACCAAATTGTCAGGGGAATTAATTAGGTATTTCAGATCAGATAAGGCTCTGGCCAGTACACAGAATTCTCGAACTAAATTTTGATGAACTTACCAATGTTTTGTTGAAATGTGTAGCTGTTGTGGTTACTCTATGATTCTGTTGCTATATACATAATTCTCTAGTTATTACATTTCATAATGAAAAAAATCCTGAATTGTGAGAACTATCAAACTGTAGAATATGTTGTAATCAGCTAGAAGAATGAGTTCTCAGGAATTAATAAAAGGGTTACATGTCTTTAGCTCTCAGGGTGCTACAATGGGAATTTACTTCACAACCCCATATAAATTTATATATACCCTTATTCACCGAACCTGAGGCAGATAATTGTTTTAGTATAATTTCAGAGCTGAACAACAGAGAAATTTCTAAAACCATAACATTTTAGTAACATTTATTAACATTTTATTTTAACATTTTATATAAACCGCCTGGCAGTTTATATAGCGTCATATAAGGAACTGCTTGACCAATCAGATTGCTGGAAACTCTTTGCTCAGCTCTGGAATTATACTAAATACCCTTATACCGTATAGGGTATAAGGTGCAAAACACCAATCAAATTTTTTAAAAATATTTTCACATTTTCTTGTGTTGGATTGTTTTGATTTTTTAATGTCTGTTTTGAGCATTTGATAGTGAATCTGTGTGGAAGTAGACCTTATTGAATATGCTCAAAATCTGGGTATTTAATTAGTTTTTTGAGAAAAATGTCTAGTTCCTGATTATGTTACACTCTGTGTCATATCTACTCTTAGGTTATCAAGGATCATGAAACTGGTACTTCAAGAGGGTTTGCCTTCATTACATTCTGTGAAGTAGACTCTGGTAATTATTTTGTTTTTAATATATCAACAAAGTTGAAATGGTAAATTGGCCACCGTTACAATTATAAAAGCTGACGTTTAGAGCGTTAGCCCTTCATCACTCGCCCCGACAATCGGATTCCATACGCGCAAAACTATTTATTTAATAGTTTACATTTACGAACTCAACACGCGCAATTATTTATTTAAATATTTTAAATATTTTAAAGTTTTTACGTTTGCCACCTTCGTACGGTATAAATTAACTATTCATTTTTATTCTCTTCTCACTTGAGAATGATGACATGGAGTCATCGAAACTTTGTGTGTTTTTCTCGCTAGTGTTTATTCTTAAACTTTGTTGATGTATTCAAATTATTTCGTTACCCCCACCAATGCAGCCCCAAACAGTTTCTTTAGAAACTATCGGCCTTTAATTATTTTGTTGTTACCTCAATATGCATCTTTTCCTTTTACACATGCTAGGTGACTTTAATCTGATTTGATTATGTTGTACAATGTCATATGTTTAATGACTATCACCTGATGTGGGGGCCAGAGCAAGGGATGATCAACATTTTGAAACTTTACAATTATTCTTCCTTTATCAGTTAGAGAACATTTTAAACAACAACGGTTAAAATTTTAAACAACTGAAGGTACTTTAAAATTTTTCTGCAAAACTGTGTTCATCAGCAACATTGATATGAAGGTATATGTCATTATTTCTATATGAAGTATGAATCACCCTGTAGTCATGTTTCTCTCAGGAAACATAAATTAAACTGACCTTTGAACATGGCCAGCTCTTTCTTGCTTGCAATTTCTTGCTGTCCCATGGGCAACTGGGTCTTAGTGTACTGTGTATGATATTAGTGGCACTTTATCTGGACTATAACTGATGTGAAATTTTGAATATGTATAGAATATATATGTACAACATAGAGGGGGCTCATTTTGAGTAACAACCTGGAATTAAAGCCCTTGGCAGTCATATCTAGTAGCAGGTGGTATTGTGGCACAAGGCTGAATTTTATGAATTGTATAGACACATCACAATATGAGTGTCTATCTAACTGTTTTTTTCTCACACTTTCCTTTCAGCTGTGAAATGTAAAACATGGTGTGCTTATAACCATTTGGTAGGTTAATACTCATATGTTTACTCAGAGAAATTGAAATTTTGAAGATAAAATAAGAAAAATTTGTTAGGACACCTCAATCAGCATTTTTATTATTTGATTGGTGATTGATGCCCAGAAGAAACATGTCTGGTCACTTTAATCTTTTATGAAAGGGCTATAGTTGTGTTGCACTGCTAGCCATTAAGTACATGCTGAAGTTTAACAGTAAACAAACTCTTGCATTTTTTCTTTTCCTACTTACTATTTTGTTGTGCTATCCCCCAAAATTATGTGAGTCTTACCTGTGAACATATTGGTTATGATAAACTGTACAGTTGTAAGGCGGGTAACCTGTTGGGTACAATTATGGTAAATATCATGACTAGTTGTGTTCGTGTGGTCAGGGAAAGCTTATAATTATCAAGGAGAAATGGGGAGATAATGAAACCTGATGTCTGTGGTAACCATCTTTTGCAAACTTTAAAAAAAAAAAAAAAAACTAGCATGTGTCTAAATTGATCTATACAGGTATATATGGATAGGATACATTTAGTGTAATAAGCATATCATAGTATATCAATGCATTTTTTATTCTCCAGAAAATTGATGATAGAAATGTAACTGTGAGAGCTGCTGAGCGTCGACAGGTGAGTTGACATCATTTTACATGTATGTTACACCTTAATTTGGGTGTCATTGTCACTGATATTTGTTGTTGATATATGATAGATTACATGTCTAGTTTTAGCTCTTGAATAAAATATTCTTTGATCTATGGCTATCAGTAAAACTTAAAGCAAAGCATCCAATCATGAAAATATTGTTAGATCTAACACAAAGAGCCACCTATACATGTAAGTGATGGCAATCATGAGAAAACTTGGGTGATGTTTTCTTGGAAATTGGTTTCACTTGAAAAGTAAGTATTTATTTGATTGGTTTAAAGTGTAGTCTTGCAATTTTATAAGTTTATAGGTTTACAAATCCATCATAAAGTATTGATAAACTTGTCTCTATTTTTCTTTTGAACTGTATTGTTTAAAAACCGTATCCCATACACCAAATGCAAATATGGCATCCAATTTGAATTGCCATTGTTCTGGACTGACTAGCCTCTCACACAAGTAATAATCCTTTTGTGTTTCCACGTGAAGACGAGACTAGTCAGTCCAGAACAATGGCAATTTAAATTGGATGCCATATTTGCATTCGGTGTATGCTGTTGTGGCATTAAAACCATCACTAGCAAGGGGAGAGAAACATATTTCTCTCAGTAAATAAACTTTTTTCCTTTTCGCTTTACATGTAGATCAATTATGCAGCAGTAGAAAAGAGGAAATGTGCAGAGGATAACAACCCCACTTTATACTGGGAGTACAAGTGGACTGAGGACCCTAAAGCAGAGGTATAAATTTATTTAGATATAAACAGCTCACGCTGCAAACGGTTTTTCTTCACAGTTAGCAAATCTTGGTCCGATTCCATCAGTGCTACTAATAAATGGAACATTTGATGACAACAAAAACAATCTTTTTTTTCTTTTTTTTTCTCTTAACTCTCTTTCATACTTTCAGTGCCTTGAAGCTGGTTTTTATGGCCAGATACTGTGATTATTAATGCAAAAAGATAAACTTGTGCAGTCAAAGGGTGTCTATGCTTGTTTGATATCTTATTTGATTTGAGGAAGTGAACTGCAAAATGTGCTTTTGCTATTTTTAGAAATACTACACAAAACTGTGCCTATTCTTCAGGTATACGGTCCCTATGAAACGAGTTTGATGTTACAGTGGTCTAAAGCTGTAAGTATTTTGGAAGTGCTTTGAATTTGGTTGTGAATTTGGTATTGGATCAACTAATAATCCCCTAATTTATATTTTTCTTTATTCTCATTGCTTGTCTGCTTGATATTGTATTGATATTGTAAGGAGAAATTCTGTCTTGGTCACTCATGGGAGTTTAAGTGGTAAGTTCATTTCTTCCGTGTATGGGTGTTTTTTTTTTATTTCAGGGATATTTTGATGCAGGTTGTTGGGTGCGAGAACAAGTGACCAAAAAAAGTGACGAGAACTCGTCTGAACCTTCATGTAAGACAGCCAGACTGGTGGATCAAAGCTATTCAGATTCAAGTGATTCTGAGGATGACACGCCATCTGTGGGGGACCCTGAAGAAAATCAATTTGTTCACGTGTCTGAGATAGATTTCTCTATTTTTCCTTGAGTACGTGCATCACTTGAAACATCAGACAGTTTGAGTGTTAATGGATTCTTTGACAGAACTGCATCGGAGTGAGCGTTGGGAGGACAGCTAAATGAAAGAGAAAATGCATTTTATAAATAAACTTTGAGTGGTGTGCGAGTCCCAATCGCCATTTTTGTTTGTTTCGTCACGCAATGCATTCCAAATCAGATCAGCGGCGGGTAACGGTCACGTCAGTATGTCAAGTTGACAGTTTGTGGTTACAATTACGTTGAAACCCTATAAGTTATAGTAAGATAAGCCAGGTACGTAGGACATATCGGAGTTTGGAATTTAAACAGTCACATTAAAAGTTTGTTACGCGAACAAATCAAGAATCTGAGCTATCTTACTTATGGTCAGAACTAAAATCACCACTTCATTGAACATTGCACGTTTTAGTCAAACGTCTCAAACGTGTCATCAATCTAATATATGTATGTGTTATTACTTCCGTTAACGGCTAGCAGAGAATCTAAATGACCCAAAAACTACTTTGACTGTAAAAAAAAAAAAGTAATAAAACATTTTAAACCGTTGTGATGTTTTTTTTTTCAAAACCAGACTTTTAATTTCCACTCGTGAATGGAGAACCTCAGGTCACAACTATTATCATATTTCTAGTTATTTTTCGCTTGACTCAGTGTTTCCTTCGTGTTAAAAACTTAAATTTTAAATATCATTTGGCGTGTCGTCGGTGGTATAACGTAATTCAAACGAAGAGCTTCTGGAATTACTTCTCGTTTATTAACCGGCGGAGAACTTAATTTCATGGTTGACTTGAAAAGGAGACAAATGTTTTTGTTTCGCATTTAGTGACCTGTCTAATAACGCATCAGAAAGGCACTTTGAATGGGTAATTCGAAATTTCTCAGTTGTTATTGATAGCTACCAACTTGAGTCGTGAAATAGCAACACGATCTTCGGATACGAGCGAGCCTCCATGAGTAAATTGCGCACAGCAAACGGAACAATACGCCTCACTCATTTCAAAATCATCTCTGCCTATATAAGTCTGTTTTAAATGGCAGTTGATGGAAAACGCCAGTGTGTCCTATTTTCAATTATACTGGAAAATTCTTGTCCAAAGAGTGAAGGTTGAGTGGTGTCACAGCCTCCAATCAAATCGCAATGAGTCATCGATATCGTAGAGCTTCTGTATGGAAAACCTTCAGTTCAATACAAACATCACTTCGAGGAAGTGGCTGTTTCTAGACGCAGAAAACACTAAGTCAAGATGAAAATTGCGATAAGTTCTACCCACCGACTTGGCCTGTGGGCTGTTATTTTGTTATATCTCCTATGTTATCAGCAAATTACAGCACTGCAAAAGTCAGGCTTGCGCAAGAGCGCCAAGCTGACCCAGGAAACGTCCTTGGTTAAATAAAGGGGTGACGCACATGCCAAAGAAAAAAGATCGGCGAACCAAAATACCGAAGTGAGCGATTCTAAAGATTTTGAGAAACGACTCAAAGCCCTTGAGAAGAGGTACTTGGTTAGATTTTGATATTTTAGCGTCACAAAACTTTTGCGTTTCAAGTGAATCCTTCCATACTGTAAATGATTGAATATTTAAAAAAAAATAAAAGTGGTAATACTGATAGTGAACGACTGAATAGCTGACAGTAATCAAAAATTGATTCTTCCAAAATATGAGCCTAATCCGGGGCCTTTGTCATATACGCGTAAAAGCCTTTTTTTCGTGAAAATTTCGAGATTTGGAAATTGTTAGCTAGAGACCTAAAGTGCATGCATTCCTACACCAACCCTTGATTAAAACTTCATTTAACCACCTGAATGTGTAGCGTGAATAAACGAAGAGGTAATCCATGGCTTACCTATTTGTATTTTTTCGCATGACAGCTCAGTATCCTTTTTTTTAAAAATAATTAACCTGGTTCTAAGGGTACTTCGAGTGACTTAATCCAACCATAATACCACCAATTTACTTGCACTGTTTGCAAAACGAAACCTTCCAAAAAAATAAAATTGGCTGTAATTTTCCACTGGCGTGGATGTTATTGTTTTGGGACCGTCATTATCTATCGCCTGGAGGGAGTGAGGGTTGGAGGATGTTACTTGTGTCACGATCTAATTTGCCTGATCACTGACAGTTCATTGGTGGGCAATTCCCCCCCCTCCCGCTTTGTACTCTGTTGGCGGCGACTGGCTCCCCCTTTGTATCCTCCCAAAAATAATCCTCCGAACCCCCCCCCCCTTAGGCGATAAACTCTAACTGACAGCTAAGTGTGTGGTTATCAACTTATTGAATGCTAGTTCTATGACAGGAGATTACTCCTTAATGTTTAAGACCTCTACCTAATAAATGCCTTTTATTTCTTTCCAGGATGAATGCCTATCTCCGAGGTAAGGAATCTTTTAGTGTATCACGTCCTTTCTATTGCTTTGTTTTTGTCAATTCTCTAATTTTTTTTATCTTTTTGGAACCTCTCAGGCCGAGATGGTCGCGACGGGCAACCTGGTCCAATGGGAGCCCCGGGAATTCCTGGGAAACCGGGTTCCCCCGGAATGCCTGGACAACCGGGTACCCGAGGACAAAAAGGTAATACGAAGTAACTTACCGCCAATGAATGACGCCACAAATAAGGGATGAATAAAATGCTATAGCTAGTTGAGTATTTAGAAGCCTCATATGAACCTAATCACCAATTTTATCTTGCACTTTTGTTTATTGAAATGCCTTTTTAGAGCAATTTTTAAAGAAGTCCCGAAAAAATATGTTACTGCGTTAATTTTCCTTTTCTTTTTTTCTTCTCTGTGATTGGTCTAGAAAACTCGCTTGATCTCGAGCTCAAGCAGATTAAGTTACTCAAGCAGATTTCAGTTTCCGCTGTTGAGGCGTGTTCGATCGAAAATAGGATGGAACTGAACGCGGATAAATGCAAGGAGATGCGCATTGACTTTAAAAGGAACGCTCACAATTTTCCACCAATTGTGATTAATGGCAAGGAACTATCAGTATCAAACAGTCTAAAAATCCTAGGAGTCACTATTAGCTCAGATTTAAAATGGAACGAACATATTTCAGAGTGCATTAAGAAAGCGAACAAGCGCCTTTATTTTATTGTTCTCCTAAAGCGCGCAAACGTTCCACTGAGCGACATTATAAATTTTTCTTGCACCGTGATAAGATCTGTTTTAGAGTGCTGTGCGCCAGTTTTCCATCACGCGCTCCCACAGTATCTTAGTGACGACATTGAACGAGTGCAAAAGAGAGCGCTCTTCATCATTTGTCCTTATGCGTCATATTTCGAATGTTTGGCCAGGTTCGACGTAGTAACCTTGCACGCGAGACGCGTGGCTCTGTGTAGCAAGCTTTTCGAGTCTATCACGTCATGCCCGGATCACAAACTCGTGCCTGTCTTACCTAATAAGAGAGAACACAGATATAATCTAAGATAGTCCAGGGCTTATGCCATGCCCCGTACACATACAAATCGTTTTAAGAACACTTTATTCCAAGTATGTGTACATAAATTTTTTTTTAGACTAGTTTGTACATATTCATATATAGAGAGTTTTTCGCATTTGTGGTTTTATTATAATTTCAATTGTATTTATTCCTAGTTCTAAGTAATTGTAACGCAATTCAGTCTACGGACTGCCATGTTCGATATTCTGATAAACTATCTAAACTATCTATCTATCTATCTTACTTTGAACTATTTTTGCCTTCGTATAATTTCTTTTTTTCGATTGGTCGTTGCGATCACTTAGATATTGTTTATGGAATATAGGTGAAGTCGGGAGGCCTGGGACTGGAGGACTTCAAGGGCCCAAAGGTGATAAAGGACGAGATGCTGGTGGGGTGAAATATGTTCGCTGGGGAAGGACCACATGTCCTAGTGGTGCTGATATTGTGTACAAAGGTGAGGTTGGATTACAAACAAACTTTAGTAGGCAAACTGAAGTGAGACAGTCGGGACGAATTAAATTATACAAATTATGCTTTAATAATGTATATAAATGTGCTGGCATCTAGGTATTGTTGGAGGTAGCCACTACTCACATAGTGGTGGTGGAGGAGAATACCTTTGCCTGCCAAATACCCGAAGTACGACACGTATCAGGACGGGTTCCAGTCCCACTCTTACATTTATGGCGCCGAGTATGAGATTTTAAACGGAAGCTGCACGATCACAATCCACCATGTGTCTTGTGTTACGTCAAATCGCGTGCAACCGAACTGATGATACCCGCGAGGAATGTCTGTCCTTCTGGTTCGACCGAAGAGTACCACGGGTACCTAATGTCAGAGCGTTACAACCACCATTCTAGCAAATTCATTTGTGTTGACAAGGATCCAGAGTTTGTTCATGGCAGTCCTCCTGACCATAACGGTGCCCTTCTGTTCCTCGTGGAAGGATCTTGTGGTTCGTTACCATGTCTCCCATATGTTAAAGGCAGAGAGTTGACATGCGCAGTGTGTACTAAGTGAACCCAGAACTGACTCCGAAACCAGTTTAAAGCTTCAAAACTTTTCCATATCTTGGGCATGGTATTGGTAAAGCTAAGAAAATTTGTTGTAAGACAAATAAAATTATTGAAGTTTTAATGAGTTACAAATCTGTTTTATATTTCTTTCAAATAGACAATGTCTCCGGCATTCACTTCTAAAAAGTTGTAATAATATAGAAAGAAAAATTGGAAACGTTCTCAGGATTACAAGTTTAAATCAGATAGATGAAAACCACAAATTCAAGGAACTTCACCAATAGAAGAAATTGGAAATTCATAAACTAGTTGGAATGCTTCGGCTTTCGAAACGAATCCATGAGCCCTGTTTCTGAGTGAACAAATCTCAGATAACGAAGAAATCAGTCCGGTAAGAAGCTGCCCCTTAATCGAACCCAGACGACCGTGCTGTTTAATTAGCACCAATATGCTTACAAAAGCACGTTACGATCAAGGGAAAACTAAATGAACCAAAGCCGAACACGAAAACCCCAAAAATAAGCGGGTGGAGAAAATAGGGAACGTGTACCCCCACGCAAGGCTGTGTTGCTAGCTTCGGGGTCAGGCTACTCCATGAATAACATGATATACACAAGTAAGGAAGTATGCGAGTACAGCTCTGAGTAAAACCTGATGTGAACTTGACAATAATTCAGGAAAAAATAATAACAAATAACTGAAATTCAGAAACGAAAACGAAACCAAAAAAATCACAGCGAAGGCTGAGCGTAGAATGTCACGCCCTACTAACGACCTTAAAGGACTAACCTCGATCCTTTACAGTCAAACTAAGTGAAGCGTACCCCTCAGGATTACATTAATGATTTGATTATTTGAATATTAAACCCGCTAATCGTTTCAGGAGCGCAATAACGAATTGAATATTTGAACATGGAACCCGCTAACCGTTTCAAGAATGCAATAATGGATTGATTATTTGAATATTGAACCCGATAGCCGCAGTGTTTTTACAGTGCAGTTCGTTAATTTTCAGGATTCCTCGTCCAATAGAACAATTTTATTGGACTTCAGAAATGGACTTCTAATTTGAACAATGATCCGC